TTTTGGTACCGGGGATTGAACTCAGGTCCTTGCGCTTGCAAGGCAGGCCACCGAACCGCTGAGCTAAATCCCCGGCCCTATGACCAGCTTCTTTATCTCTCCATAGCTGGCTCCTGTCACCCTGCTGGCCTGGCCCCGGCCAATCCCACCCGTCGTGAGGTGAGCCCAAGTCTGCCTGTGGTGTGGGATGGGTGGGCCACTAGGCTTGAATAAAAAGTCCCAAGCCATGAGGCCCTGGCTTCCTGCCCACTGCTTGGTTGCCATGGCAACCTCAGGCCTGTCTGCCTTTCTCGCTGGTCCTTTGCCCTGGTTCCAGGTGACTGCTGGACAGGGCGGGGTCAGCCCTTTGTCAGGGCTCCAGGGTGAAGGCCTGTGGGGGAGGGACCCACTGGAATCTGCAGTCTCGTCCTCTCCTGGCACAGGGTCCGTGTGTGTGCCGGGCTCACGTGGAGGGGCCGAGCTGTGACCACTGCAAACCTGGCTTCTGGGGCCTGAGCCCCAGCAACCCCGAGGGCTGCACTCGTAAGTGCCTGTGGGGAGCATTGGGGTTCAGGCAGAGAGGGGAGCCCAGCTCCAGTCCTCCTGTCCCCAGCAGCTCTCAGGCCTGCTCTGTTCTCTGCAGGCTGCAGCTGTGACCCCAGGGGCACCCTGGGCGGAGTTTCCGAGTGCCAGCCGGTGAGTCTGGGTGCAGGTTTCGGCTATCAGGGTTAGGTGGGTCAGCACCACTGCCTGGTCTCACTTTCTGTCATGGCCCTAGGGCAGTGGCCAGTGCTTCTGCAAGCCCCACGTGTGTGGCCTGGCCTGTGTGGCCTGTGAGGATGGCTTCTTCGGGCTGGATCAGGCTGACTACTTTGGCTGCCACGGTAAGTGGCCATCACAGGCCCTCGGACCACGTCCCTGCTGTCTCTGCATCACATCGGAGTGCCGATGAGTGAGGGACACCAGATGGGCCTGAGCAGAGAGGCCATGCTTGGGTTGGTGCCCCCGGCCAGGCCCTGGCAGACATCCCTGAGCTATCCCAATGCCCCGTCCCTTAGCCTGGGTCCCAGAACCCCAGGACCCTTTGAGTGGACAAGGGTGGACTTACAGGCCTTGCTGCACCCCGGGAGAGTGGTTGGGAGAGTAAGGGCTGCCTGTGGGAGGCCCCAGAGCTGGGCTGTGTGGTACCTGACCCCTGATCCTCTCCTTCTGCCTATGTGCAGGCTGCCGATGTGACATTGGTGGAGCGCTGGGCCGGGGCTGTGACCCGAAGACGGGTGCTTGCCGGTGCCGCCCCAACACCCAGGGTCCTACCTGCAGCGAGTGGGTACCCAGTGGAACAGGCCAGGGTGTGGGAGGCAGCTTGTCCCAGGTTCCCCCAGGGCCCTTGCCCCGGGACCCACGTGGGGCCACCAGCTGTCCCCAGGGATCTGGGCAGCCACGCAGGGCCAGTGCCTGCCCCTAACTCCCGTGCCACGTCCAGGCCCGTGAAGGACCACTACCTGCCTGACCTGCACCACCTGCGGCTGGAGCTGGAGGAGGCCACCACCCCCGAGGGCCATGCTGTGCGCTTTGGCTTCAACCCGCTGGAGTTTGAGAACTTCAGCTGGAGGGGCTATGCGCACATGGCACCCATCCAGGTGGGCTGTGCTGCCCTGTCCCCACTCACAGTAGAGCCAGCCGTGGCGTCAGTGTAAACAGCGCGGCGCTGGGGTGGCGATGCCGAGGGAGGTGACCCCACTGTTTGTCCACCGCAGCCCAGGATCGTGGCCAGGCTGAGCGTCGCCTCCTCTGACCTCTTCCGACTGGTCTTCCGCTACGTCAACCGTGGTCCCACGAGTGTGAGCGGCCGGGTCTCTGTGCGTGAGGACGGCAAGTTTGCCACCTGCACCAACTGTGAGTGGGAGGCTGGTCCGTCCCTCCCGCCCGCCCAGCTGCCCCCTCGGGCTCCACTTGGGGGTGGTGGGCTCAGGCTGTCGCCCACACCACGGGGCAGTTGCAGCCTGGGACCCAAGCACCAGGCCCGGCATCTCCCCTCGCCAGGTACAGAGCAGAGCCAGCCTGTGGCCTTCCCACCCAGCACCGAGCCTGCCTTCGTCACTGTGCCCCAGAGGGGCCTTGGGGAGCCCTTTGTACTCAACCCTGGCACCTGGACCCTGCTTGTGGAGGCCGAAGGGGTGCTACTGGTGAGGTGGGGGCCAAGGGCAGGGGTTGGCGCAGGCCCTGGGCCCAGGAGCCTCCATACCCTTTCCTGGCCTCCACCAGGACTACGTGGTCCTACTGCCCAGCGCCTACTATGAGGCAGCCCTCCTGCAGCTGCGAGTGACCGAGGCCTGCACCTACCGCCCCTCTGCCCGTCGCTCCG